TGAATCTCTAATCCTCACGCATCTTGATTGCTTGGAAGATGATGTTAAAGTTGTTTGTAAGCTACAGCTCAGCCACCTCGAAGCAGGGCAACACATCAATGCAATTATCAAACAGCGATAAGAAATCTTACCATGTAGGCATGTATATTAACTCCAAAACACAGTAAAACTTATCAATCAGTATAACATGCTAGATTTGGTTTTGCATACCTCAACAGCTAAATATTTGGCATTTTTTTTTGCTTATAACTATTATTTTATTTCCTCCGTGACTGTCCTTAAATAAACTTCAGTTTTTAATTTACTACCATTGACCAAAATTCTTTTCAATTATATTGACTTAAGTGTTGGAGCAAAATTAAATACTAAATTTATATATTTGAAAACTACACCAAAAGTTCTTTAAAACAAAAGATGACATGACTAATTAATTGTAACAAGTGATAAAAGTTACCAAGGAAAGAAGATACAGTTTGACTATGTAAATAGTAAAAGTGAAATTTATTTGACACAAGGAATATTAAGAATCTACTTTGTCAGGTCCAGCGGATTAAATATTTAAATGGTTAAATGTATGTGATCATACACACTAATACATTGTCTGGAATAAATGAATAACTAATAAGCAAGAACCATGTATATATAGATCACATTGGCAGTCACCACACATGCCATTTCAGCATTCTAAAATTTTCTCAGTTATTTCTTGTGTCAAAAATTAGCACTTGCTTAGTTGTTTTATTAATATGTTAAAATATCGGAGAAAGAGAGCTTAAATTAAGTGTTCTTAATTCATTACTGCACACGGCAAGGTTGGGTATCATTGTTTAAAATAGAGTGACAGTATATGCATTATGCAATAGCATTATAACACTTGAAATGTTATAATTAACATATGTCATAAACATGGTAGAACTAAAAGGCTTGACAGCACTGTAGGGCCATATTACAGTGCACATCTTATCCAGAAACAGACAAGATCGTTTCCAGAATAAGGTCTAACCTTAAACCTTGTATTGACAGAATATGTGCGTTGCAATTACAAGATCATTTCCAGAATCAGATCTAACCTTACATATTAAATAAAAGAATATGTGCTTGTGAAAACTAATAAGACAAATTCCAAAAAAAGTTATCAGCAAAAAAATGAATCAATTACCAAGAACCGGAACTGTAAAAATTCTTAAAAAAGATTTGTGACTCCAAGAACATTGGAGCCGACTTTTATGATACAAATGATGTTGATTGGAACCGGTGATGATATCTCCATTCAACAACTAACCATCTACATACCATATTACTAGCTTGGATTCACATATCATTTCAACCTCAAAAATCGCACCTTTAACACGTTAAATCATCTACAGGCGCTGAATTTCCTAAGATTACGAATAATCAATAAGACGTAGCAATAGAATCAGCAACAGCCACAGTCCAAATGGAAAAACGAAGATCAGGCAGAGCAAAAAGTAAAAGGAAAAGAAATTGAACCTCTCATTTGATCGAGGTAAACAAATCCGATGGAAGGAGAATCTGATCTGGGAAGATTTCCATCGGACGAAACCCTGGAAACGGAAAGAGGGTGTCGGGATGCGATTGACGGAGACGCCTGAGCAGCCGACATCCAGGACCATGATGGCAGAGACGATAACCTCCGACCTGCGATTCTCAACATCCTTATCGCCTTGAGATTGATCCGCGCTGAGCTTCTCAGGATTTGTACCTTGAAATGGTCTCGATTAGGGTTTCGCGGTGACGCGGTCTTCTCGAATATCGTCAGGCAGGTGGTGCTCAGGACTTTTGAATAAGACGATGGATTTATTTATTCATTGGCTCCTCTCGTCTTCTATTTACGGAGTGATTGTTGGCACTTGACAACTTGGCATTATGGCATTGATCAATTCATTGATGGAACCCAATGGTCACAACTTTGAATCTGGTTCAAGTCTCATATGCATACCCGTTAAAATATTAATAATCCAAAATAGTTAAGCACCGCCGCACACATCTCGGCATTCTCATCGCCCTCCAAGATTGGCTCCAAGTTTCCCATTCTCTGGATTTCCTACGTGTAGCAAAAGAACAAATGATTCACGCTCAACCTTGAAGCTAAGTGGGAAATATCTAACATACAGTTATACTCATAGATAGTCTCACTAACCCATATCATCATACGATATCATGTGCATAACATACATAGCATTAATCACAACAGTATACAAGATATAACATGCGTAATCAACATCATAACAGTTCACAAGATACGATCAACGACAATACAAGTATTAGGTACTTTCCTTTTTAGTTTATTTTACTTTCTTTCTCGCACGGGCTCCTAACATATGCTAGGTTGAAGCTTAACTGATTTCAACTTGCCTTTGGGAGTCATGATGTAATGCCCAGAAACTGGCCTATCAGAATTAATTAATTAGAAATAGTTAAATAATTACTGAGATGGACTCGGTGGAAATTATGAAATATTCTTTGTTTGATAATAAGGTTTATACTGTTGTATAAAATTCGACGGAACGAATCCAACAGTGCAACCAGATTTGGATTTGGAGCCCGTGGACCTGGATAGTGTTTTTAGGCTAGGTACGTTAAGTTAATACGGAGCCCGAAACCCCAAACATGTAAACAACACCCTACACGCCTAAAATCCCTACACGCCTCCCATAATATTACGTAAACCCTTCTCTCTCTCGTGTCTCCTTTGTCGGTAGAAGAACGTCAGCAGAACTGAGAAGGAACGCAACGGAAAAGACGAAGAAAAGAAGAAGAAAAGGAGGAAGAAGGAAGAGGAATTTGTCTTCCGGTTCTCCGTTGCTAACACTATTCAATAATCCTCAATCGTCGAATTTGAGATGAGTACGTGGACATCTAACGTATGGTTATAGTCATAGGTTTGAATCTTACGTTCGTAGAAACGTTACAGTTGATCTATTTGGACCTATGTGAATTATGCCTTGTTTATGTTGTTGATGGTTTGAGAAGCATGAATTAACTTAGAATTGTTAATTTTCAGTTCATATCATATCATTTAATATCAAGGCATGTTATTCAATTCAGATATTCATTATTCATTGTTTCAACAGTGTCATTAAATTATTCTTAATCTAAGGCTAGATCATATTGATAACAAAGCTTTGAAACTTATTCTTAGCCTAAGGTAATAATTCTAATCGGGCTCTTTAACTATAATTAGTTTAAGGCAGAACACAATAATCAATGATCAATCCTATGAGTCTTATGGATCACGCTCTAAACCGTACAACGAATTATTCACTGTCGGGTGGGTGATATCCCCAAACGGGTAGATACCCAAGTTTGATTTGTGGATTCCGTACATACGTTTTAACCCCTTGCTACCAGACATCATACCCGCAAGACCTAACTAATTTGGTCACATAGGTATATCTTAAAGTTTTTCTAGATGCCCTTAACAATACACATCATTTTCATAATTATCAATAGATTGATTCTTAATCATGGTTCAATAATTCATAATTATCATTTTAACCAGGATATTCATCAAGATTTAATCATCATAATCAACGATTTACCAGCAACCTAGTTCACTAGCCCATTTATTCGTGTTATGTGAGTTGGGGTGTTACAACAATTTACTATGGAAGGTTAACGGTCTTAAGAATAATTAGGTTAAGAATGACTAAGATTTAGGTTTTATTCTTATAGGTTGAAATCTCAGAGTTGGACGTTTGAAGAAATTGGAAGACGTTGAAAAAAATGGAAAAAGTTAAAAAGTGTTAGAAGAATCAAAGTGTTAACATTAAAGTCACTCAATTAAAAATGATCGCCGAAATAAATATGTAAAAAACTCTAATTTTCGATAAAGTAAAATTCATCAATGTCTGTATTTGAGGTGATGTGTAAAAATTTGGATATATAATGTTATAAATCCCTTTTTAAGTTGTTAGAAGAATCTGGAAAGAATTGAAAAAAATTGGAAGAAACTATAAAAAATGGGGAGAATTTGAACAAAGTTAGAAATTTAAAATTAAAGTTGACAAATTAGAGGGAGGAGAGAAAATAGAAGATGAGATCATGTCATTTTTTTCATCATAGACGATGAGAAAATTGATGAAAAAAATCATTTACTTTTTCCTTATCTTTTCATCTCTCTCTCTCTTCTTATCATTTTCTATATTTCCTCTTATTTTTTCTCCTCATCCAAACAAACCATCAAGTTTGTATAGATAGAGTAAATTTTTTTGAGAGTATTTTAATATTATTTCTCATTGTAATATGATTAAAGTATATTTTTTATATTAAAATAATAGTCCATCCGGCCCAAAGTAAATTTTTTATTCAATTTCAAATTAAATTGTCTATTTACTATTGATAGAGTCAAATTTTAATCAGGGTCTTGACTCATTTTCGAGACTTATTTGAGAAAATCATAGTTTGCCACTTCTTATTTTGTAAATTCTCGATGTAGTTTTTAATTGTATAAATTTATTTTTAAATCCTTACTAATTTTTAAATAAATTGATTTAAAAATAACTTCAGCCAATCATAAACAACAATAGACATCTCTTTTTGGGACAAGAAAAATACTAAATTTTAACTCAATTTATTTAAAAATTAGTGTAAAACTAAAAAAGTTACAGTAAATATTTAAAAATAACATCAAATTAAAGTTCTATAAATTAAGATATGCCAAAGTTATATTATTTTATCAAATTAATTGTGAAAATAAAATTAGAACATATCAAAAATAGATAAATGTAAATAATAAATATAAAATATTTTTGAGAATGAAGGAAATAATTAAGAGTCTATTACTATTTTTTATTTTCAACTCATTATTTTTCAGTTAAAATAAAAAATACGGAGTATATTTTAATTCAATTAATCTTAATTTATTTTGAATTAAATTCAGTAGAAAAAAACTTAAAAAATCACATATCGGTATTTATTACTCCGTAAAAGAAATTCAAGTTTCCTTAATTGTTAATTCCACTATTGGATTTGGAGCCTTAAAATGTTGAAGAGGGAATTCGAAAATTTTCAAAAATTTCCTCAAAAAATTATCATTCGTCAATTATTCCACTCTTCTTCTCCCACTCAAATAAAATGGTCTCTTGACTCTCCTCCACGCCCATACACAACTGCTCCGCCTCCATTCCCTCCACTGTTCTCCGGGACTCGAGCTCATCTCTCTCGGTTTTACAGTAGTCCGTTCGCCGGAGAGATCTCATGGGGTCGGAAGCTGTCAACCTTCCCTGCGACGGCGACGGCGTCTGTATGAGATGCAAGACCAAGCCGTCGGAGAACGAGAGTTTGTCCTGCAAGACATGCACCACTCCCTGGCATGTCGCCTGCCTCTCCGTCCCTCTCAAATCGATGTCCGACACCGTCGGATGGGAATGTCCAGACTGCTCTCCCGCCGAGACTGAGGATGCTCATCCCGCGGCGGCGATGCAGTCCTCCTCGTCGTCCGGCTACCTTATCGCGGCTATACGGGCCATCGAGGCCGATTCGTCGCTGAGCGAGAAGCAGAAGGCCAAGCGAAGACAGGAGCTCCTGAGTGGAGGCGCGAAGCCTGTGGATGCCGATCCCGAGAAGAAGAGCAATGGGGGAAACAACGAGGTTCTCAATCTTCTCGACGGGAGCTTGAACTGCTCCATCTGTATGCAACTTCCCGATAGACCTGTCACGGTGAGATTCGCTATCCGATTTTCATTCCTGCTCGTTCTCTGATTATAATTGAGTGCATTTATAGGTATTCATTTGAAGAAGATGTAATTAATAATCCAGATGACTAATTTGATATAAATTTGTTCATAAATCTATACCACACGGGTTGGATTTGGCATATTGATGAACATAATGGGAGTGGACTCGATTTTGGATTTTTGTTACTTAAAATGGGGAAATGAAATTGGGATTGTCTATACTCTTGTTTTGTCTGTATTTACTCCAGTATGTATTCATATTACCCTTTCACAGTTATTGCCATTACTATGATTATGAATTTGCATAAAGAGAGAACTAAAATGTGTCGTCTCTATTCCTAAAAAAAGCTGATGCTCAGTATTTCACTGAAATTCACACATGCACTTGTCATTTACTTCAGTCAGTTTGTGATTTCTGGTATTATTGGTTGTGTAGAGAAGATTAAAAGCTTTTTAAATAACCGATACTCTTTCGAGTGATTTGACTGACTACATTAGCATGTTTCAGACACCATGTGGTCACAACTTTTGCCTGAAGTGCTTTGAGAAGTGGGTTGGTCAGAGAAAGCTTACATGTGCGAATTGCCGTGCATCCATTCCTCCAAAGATGGCAAGTCAACCTCGGATCAATTCTGCACTTGTTATGGCAATCAGAATGTCTAAGTTATCAAACCAAGATGCTTCTGAAAGGGCATCTAAAGCATCTCCTTTTATCCACAATCAAAACAGACCAGATACAGCATTTACTACTGATCGGGCTAAAAAGGCCGGTAAGGCTAATGCTGCAAGTGGGAAGATTTTTGTCACTATACCTCAAGACCATTTTGGTCCAATTCTACCAGAGCATGATCCAGAGCGAAAGATGGGTGTTTTGGTTGGAGAAAGTTGGGGAGATAGGTTGGAGTGCAGACAATGGGGGGCTCACTTTGTACATGTAGCTGGAATTGCTGGTCAAGGAGATCATGGAGCGCAGTCGGTGGCACTCTCTGGTGGCTATGTAGATGATGAGGACCATGGAGAATGGTTCCTCTATACTGGAAGGTATTCTCTTGGCAGAAATTGCCGCCCTTGATTTCCCTCTTTTGATCAATAAGGTATTGTCTTTTAATGATCAAATCAAATGCCACTACTTCTGAAATTCCTCTCTTGGCTGGCGGCGTGTAGTGGTGGAAGAGACCTGAGCGGGAATAAAAGGACAAACAATAAGCAAGCCTTTGATCAGAAATTTGAGAGGGGAAATGAAGCTTTACGAGTTAGCTGCCGCAAGGGATATCCTGTTCGTGTAGTGAGGTTAGACTTTCCTTTACTATGTTCTAGTGAGGTTAAAGAAGATACTGTATAGGATTCTTCCCACCAGGGATTATGAAGGATCTTTAGTTTGAAAGAAGGCAACCTTTATATAACATACATTTACATACTAATGAAGTTAATCCAGTTTTTGAATTACTATAGACAACTATGTGCTTTGTCCCAACTCATGTCCAAAATTATCAAAAGAGGTTAAAGGGGCTATTGATCTAAAAATTTCATCTTCAAAAGGTACAATCTCCTATACAGAGGAGGGCAGATCATGCTTTGGAGCTAAAATACTTAAAAACTGTAGAAAATTCTCAATATGTGGGAATAAGGAGATATATTGTGAAACTGTTTGTTTTCCTTGTATTATGTCATTTTTTATATCTAGGTCGTTCAAAGAGAAGCGTTCTTCATATGCTCCAGAGAAAGGAGTTCGTTATGATGGAATTTACAGAATAGAGAAGTGTTGGCGCAAAGTTGGAATTCAGGTAGAGGACTTCCCCGAAAGGTTTTAAGTTTATTCCTGGAGGGCAGATCATGCTTTAGACTGGTATCAATGTCTCTCTCTTTTTTGTTGTTTTTGTTGTAGGGATTTAAGGTTTGTCGGTATCTTTTTGTACGCTGTGACAATGAACCTGCTCCGTGGACAAGGTTTATTGAAATTCTCATTTTTCTATCTTTTATATAACTTTTTCTCCATGAAATCCACTTCTTTATACATGCACTTATTCTCTCTATCTCTTCAGTGATGACATTGGGGACCGCCCTAGGCCCTTACCCGATGTTAAGGAGCTAAATAATGGTGCTGTTGATATAACCGAAAGAAAGGGAGCTCCAGCCTGGGATTATGATGTGAGATGCTATACCCTACTTAGTCTCATAATCCACAGATGGTTATATCTTTTTCCCCCTATGGTAAATCTAAAAGGAGCATCTGATATAGTGATATGGATACTGAACTCTGACATGGGAATTAGAAAGTGATTACTCCGTATTTTTTTTTTTTGAATTTTGGCGAAATTGATCTTGGCAAGGGGTTTAGTCCATTTCTATGACTTACATCATAAAAAACCATGCTGCAACGTTTTGTGTGGCCTAGTTGTAAACATGTCTTGTTGATGATGTTATGCAGGAGGAAAAAGGTTGCTGGCTTTGGAAAACGCCTCCTCCAGCAAGCAGAATAGTCAACTGCGAATATGATGAAGATGGAAATGTCGTGAAAAAGTCTAAGCGCACAGCAAAGAAACCATCTGTGAAAGAAAGGCTCCTAAAGGGTACATCTTTTAATATGCACTATTACCACTGCATGTCCCGGCTGTACTAATATGGATGTACTACATACATGATGCAGAGTTCAGCTGCCTCCTTTGCCGCAAAGTGATGGTTGATCCTCTCACTACTCCGTGCGCCCATAACTTCTGCAAGGCGTGTTTGGAAGGCGCCTTTTCAGGGCAGTCTTTCATGAAACAGCGGACTTGTGGAGGAAGAAGAACGTTGCGGACACAGAAGAATGTAATGGGATGCCCTTCTTGCAAAAATGACATATCTGACTTTCTCCAAAACCCACAGGCACGCCCAACTCCATTTTCTTCCCCCCCAAACACCTAAAGGCCAAAAAAGTCCAATCTAATCAAAACATTCGGTTGCCTTTGCGCAGGTGAATAGGGAGTTGATGGCGCTAATTGAATCCCTTCTGCGCAAAGTTGATGAGGAGAAGATGGAAGAGACGGGCACAATTGAGGAGGAAAAGACTGAAGAGATGAGTGAAGACGGTAACTCTACTTTGGGTGATGTGGATGAGGAGATGAGTGAGGAAACCGACGTCCCAAAGGATAAAGATGGTGTTATGAAGGAGGATAGTGTGAAGGACGAGACCAAGGCCCACAAACTTGAGAGCCTTACAGATGAACCTAAACAGCCTTTGAAGAGGAAAAGAGCCACCAAGGGCTGATAAAAACTACAAGGAAAAAGAAGGGCATTGACCCTAAAGATATGACCCCCCCTACCCACCACTCAGATTCCCATCCTCCCAATAGGATGATGACTTAGAAATTTTGATGAACTAACAATCTAAGTTGGCTTTGATGCTGTATGCAGAAGTTAACTACGTCTTTTTAACCCATTCATGTATTTATGGGCATTGCTGTTATCTGTCTGGGTTTCAGATTTTAAGGATTCTGTTTTTTGTTTCTGCAAACATTGGCCATTTGGTGAAGTTTATGGTTCAATGGAATATTCGCTCTTCTAAATTTCCCAATTCTTAGATTACCTCTCATTTGATTACCCCAAAAAGAAGAAGAAAAAACTTATCCAATTTATTGCTCAATTGTGCTCCGGAGTTTACACTTGCAATGACATAACTAGTGTAATTTCGTAGGAAATAATACCGAAAAATTGATTAATATAACGATGAGGACTAATAAATTTAGAGGAATTGTTAGTTTCTTAAAAAGCATAACTCTATAATCGTTGTTTGATTATATTAAGTTATGAACTTTCCTGATTTGACTTAGATTAATTGACCTGGGGTTGCCAACTTGCCATTCCAGCACCTACTGTTAAAAAAAATTACGGAGTATTTTTGCTCTGTAGATAAAATACAACTATTAGAAATAATCAAATGTCTGTTTTTACGGTAAAAAATGTACTACGTATGTTTTTAAATGTTTTTAAATTTAACTGCTAGTTTGATTAAGATCATGTTCCCTTCACCTGATCTGAATGATCCTGATATGATTGAAATAAGTTCAGATCTAGTTTGATCTGAATATAGTTATATTTAAAATTATTTCTGATCTGGTCTGATCTAATTCTAATAAAAAAAAGTAAGAAGTAATAAGAAATTAAGAATGAGTTGAAAAGAATCTGACCTAACTTATCATACTCAACTTATGCGTTACACTTCTTTTATTACGGAGAATCTTAAAAAAATTAGATCTCATAAAAAAGGGTATTTCTATGATTCAAAGTAGACTTTGGTACAAAAATAACTTTTTGGGTGTAAACTAACTTTGGTTACTTGTCTCTTAAACGAAGTTTTTTTTGCCAACCCATATCCTAAATTAAACTTCTTATTTTGTGTTCTATTGAGTTTAAGAAAAAGTGAAACGGTGAGATTTTACAGAGTAGAGAAATAAAGTGAACCACTTATTACTTTAAATGGAATGAACAGTTTATTTTGGACCAAATAAAAAAGAAGAGTAAATTCCCAAATTAGTCCTCGGTAACATGGGTTTTTCCCAATTTAATCCTTCATAAAGAGTAATGAATAAGATGGTCCTTTATAATTGGGATTCTTACTCAAACCAGTCCTTTTCCAAACTGCCGTCAACCTCCTGTTAAATACGGAGTACTTGAACTGTTTTATACAGTACTTCCTAATTTTACCTTAAATTTTCATCTAACCTCTATCTAGATTATTTTACACGGAGTACTTCCCTTACCCCCCCTTTCACCTAACTGTAATGTACAGTACCAATTAAACCAAACATTGAATAAAGTATACTTTGAAGAAGGGAGAGAATTTTGAAATCCAAAGTGGGTACTCAATCGCCCATTTTGAATTTTGGAACATTGTGCATATTTCCTAGGGTTAAAGCCTGCGTGTATGTTCGAAAAGTATTGACTGCTAATTTTCTATTGATTCCCCCATTTCATGAAAAAATTCATTTGCAGAATTGCAGGTATAGGTGAACACTCCTTTGAAGTTTTTTTTTACAGCTAATCCTTGGTATTTGTATAATTATTGTAACTTAAGAGCATTGAAAGTAACATTCAAGCTTAATGGAAAGTTGGGTCAAGATTCATCAAGGATTTTCCTCAATTTAGTCCTCTGTATAAAATACGGAGTATGTCTCTTTACTCTAAAAGGTACAGTAAATGAAAGGTTATGAGAGGGGTAAAGGAAATTACAAACTTATCTACAAGTTTGACAGTACATTAACGGCAATTTGGAAAAGGACCGATCTGAGGAAGAATCCCAATTATAGAGGACCATCTTGTTCATTACTCTTTATGGAGGACTAAATTGGGAAAAACTCATGTTACCGAGGACTAATTTGGGAATTTACTCAAAAAAGAAAGAGAAGTTCATTTTGGGACACAGAGTATTATACCAAACATTATGTTCCATCTATTAAACTCCTTTAGGTACAAACGTACAATGGATGATTGGTTTATCTACAAGTCATTAGGTTGAGTAATACCAAGTTAAGAAGGCATGATACATTGCATTACTGTCCTAAAATGATCAAGGCAATGCTACTCCGAGGTTTCATGCTGCCTCTGCAACCCAAGTTTCTCAACCACTGCTGCTTTCTCTTCTTCTGGTAGAGCATAGAATGTGAACACAGATTTGTCTCCTATATCATCCTGCAAACTCAAGAAAATATGTCATCATGGAGAATGAACTCACTACCCATTTTGTTGTGAAAATACCCGTTGCGGCTAAGGATCTACCTTTATTGGTTGCGTGAATTTTCTTCCTGCGAACACCACAAAAAGTCCCGCCCAAACGCCCAATAGGGTAATTTTTGCACTGTCATCCATCAATCCAGTCTGCATGGACACAAACATAAGAGCATCGCCATTTGAGAAATACATGCTTCTTTTCATCCACAAACAATTAGCTCTAGAAACCCTAATACTCAACTTTTACCATCATATCTCCTATATTGTTCAATCCCTGAGATGAACGATGGAGATCTATATGTAGCGTGGAAGAATTATGCCCAGTAGGAAGTCTTAAGACTTTGAATCTCAACCTGAAAGATTGATTTCATAAGGGCAGTCTAAAGCTTTATCTGCTTTAAGTAAATATATTCTCATCTTTTTTAATGAAGTGACCCTCAACTCACTGGGAATCTTTTGTAAATGAACTCCTCTTCACCAAGTAACTCTCTATTTTCTACGAAAAGAGAGGGCATTAGAAAACACTACTAAGTTGTGTATTTGTGTGGTTGCAAAGTAGTGATACCAGGTGCCCTAGAAGAACCGATGGGATGATGAAAGTGAGAATTCCAGCTTCCAGCTTTCCATAGCAAAGGCCTGTTTGGGCGAAGGTTAGTTAGCTGTTACTTTGGCTAACCTTAGACACCACAAATATATCAAAAGCATTTGGCTATGGTTAAGAATTAAGATCTCTCACCTTCCTTGAAGACTAGCCCTGTCAGCGCGGCGAAGACCGGGCCAACAAACCAGACAGCCGTCGGATTTTCAGTAACATATTGTACTAAATTGCACCCAGCAGGCTGAGCAAGCACATAATATGTCCCCAATGATCCAAAAACACCTAACATCCAAAGTGCTTGGAGGGTGCGTTTGATTTGTGTTACATAGATGTGAATTAGATAGAGGGATAGCCCCAATCCACCAGCTCCAAGCATGTAAAAGACATCCAGGTTTCTCCTAATGAAGTCCCTTAACAACAAATCTCCCGGAAGCAAAACTGCGGACGATGCAAGAACAAATGACATAGCAGCCGTTACTAATCCCGATCGATATAGAATGACCTGTACACGTTATCATTAACTTCAGAACAGTTTGAGCAGAAACCACTTTATACAGAGAACACGGCACAGATTAGGGCTAGCTGAAAGATGAACATTAATTGAAACCTAAAAAACTGGTAACTGAATGCTGTGATGAAAATGTCTAGAAGCTATTTAGATATAACTGGTAACTGAATGCTGGTTAAAAATCAGATATCAGATATGAATAAGAAATGTGCTTATTCATTAATGGAGAACTGTTGGGATAACGAATTGGACGGCTGAGTGCAGCAGCCACTCTGCCTGTCTATTGCTAGCATGGAAACTCAATCTAAGCTACAAAACCTAAAGTTTATGAATTCAATTTGCTTTTCCAAATTCACTAATTTACTATTCATGAACAATTCAATTTGCGAGCAGAGTGATTGAGATGGGATTACACCTCAAATGCATCCAATTGTGGCGAACAATACTCAGCAGTTAATAATTGAGAAGAAGAAGGGGCGGCGGTAATACCTCCTGGACGTCGGAGTCTTCGACGGTCCACGAACCATAAAAGCCTTGATAAACTACTGTTGAATCTGAAGGAGGCGATGAACTGTCACCGACGGCCTGATATTTTACATTTCTCCTCGGTACGCGCAGAGACAGAATTGAAGTAGTCGAAGAAACCGAAATTGAACCAGAATGAGTAGATATGCGATGGGAGAGAGCGCCCTTTTCGGTAATTGAAGAAAGCAAACAAGGTCTTCTTCTTCTTCTTTCTCTTCCACTAAACGGTGACAGATACGGCGGAGGACGATGATTACAGGCGGTGGTTGAGATTGAAGGCCAAAGCAGCGCCGTAGTGATAATATGCATCCTTCAGCTAAGCCTATCTCAGTTGGCTCTAACACATACAATGGGAGGGCTTTAGGAACAGTGTTCTCGCCCATTTCATCAGCTACAGTACTCGAAAAATTTGGACCTCAAATTCGGATAGCTTCCTGCGTACACAAGTAGAGAGAGAGTATGGAGAAAGCTTTCCGTCAGATCCACCTCTTCTTTCTTCTCTTTCTTCTCAGCCGCTTCACTGTCTCACTTCTCAAGTTGGAGGTCGACTATCGCCATCCAATTACAATCAGCACAACGCTGTGGTGGGAGAGAGAGCATACCGCCGCAAGTAAGTAGTCACGCTGCCGATTGAATGTTTTATTTCTTTCTAATTTTGAAGCTCCGATCGTACTGATTTTACCATTATCCATCTAATTCCAATTAGCAAAGTGTAAACGTTTAATCTAGGGTTTTGTTCTTGACGCCTTTTTAGATTCAATCACTGTGGAATTTAATCTTTGTTGGTGCTTGATTTGGGGTTCAAACAGTGCATCTGGTGTTGAGGCTCTGTGGTGGAATTATCCAGGCGTCTTTGATGGCATTGGCTAGGAAGTACAATGCCATAAGATCTAGGGTTCCAGGTTTTGAAGTTTTCTTTCTCCTGCGCTAAATTGGGAGACGATATTGTATCAATTCTTTTCCCAAACAGATGCCGCAGAGTAGGCCTCTAAAATCCTCACCTAGATAGCCATTCATCCTGTAATTGTGGTTCATTTTTTGCTGTTTCTAGGTGCTATGTAATCATCTTCACAATGCCTTCCAATATCCCAACACTTCGATGGTGGACCGTTCCTGAGTTCGATTGAATTTGAAGGAATCCAGCCTCATGGTTACTGCTCAGTTCAGATACTCCAGGTTTGTATTCAACTCTGTTTTGTATATTTTGGTGGAGTTTTTTGATGGATTGTGAGCGATTAGCGATGCTCTTTCAGAATCTGGTGTTGGATTTTCAATCCAATCAAGATTTCTTGGAAGTCAACCCAGTTTTGTTAAAATTTGTATTTTTAACAATAACCCATCTCAATATCTTCTTTTTGTTGATTTTAAGTTGTTTTTTTATAATTTTAGTGTTGTTTGAATTCCATCTCTTTAGATATAATGCTAGGAAAGATGAAGTAATAACTAATAAAGATTTAACCTTGGCTGAGTTTGGTGATAATCCCTCTGAATTCCTCCAAGATCATGGTTCATATAGAAAGTAGGTGATCTTAGATACAATTCATTTTTTCCATTGTTTTCATACTCCTTTGCTGTACATGGTTTAGTTTTAATATATTTTCACAACCGTATTAATCTCTATAGCTAACTCCATGTTTGGCAAACTCAAATGGGGCCGTTTTAGGTATATACATAATCATTTTATTTGACATTCATCTGTGTACATGGTGTAAACTTTTGTAAAATATTTTTTGGCATCATGGAGCGAAAAATACTGCACAGTCTAGATTCAGTTATATTTTTTTTGAATTGTTAACTTTTTGTTCAATGAAATGTTTGGCAAGCCTTTTTATATTTTTTTTACAGATTTACTTAGATATATGTGTGATTTTGAAGATAAAAATTAGATCGGGATTGGCTTCTAGACCTCTCGAGCTATGCTCAATATGTGTTCCAAGAATTGCCTCACGGAGTCACAGAGATGTACGGTCCAGGAAATCAACAATGACATCTTAAGGCAGAAGTTTGTTCGGGGTATTTTTGGTATTTATACTTCAATTATAGGGATATTACAACATTTAGGTTTAGCTATATATGCTGTTTTTACTCAATGGCCACAAATCATTTTTCATGGTATAATGATTGCAGCCAAATTCACAAAACAAGTGATGCCCTGAGGAGGATAGTGGTGGCTTGGGCGGGTATTGAAGAAGCAGTGTTCAAAGGTCTCGGGTGATGACACTAATTTCTAACAGTGCCCAAAGGACAGAATCCAGCTGCAAGGTTCCTGGCAGCTTCTGACCGTAAACCAAACAACTAGCAATATTTTTTTTATTTAAAATCTCGCTGATTTTTCCATAAATTAAATGTTGCTAAGCTGTAATGCACAACGTGAACAGATTTTTTTAGTTAATTTTGATCAAAGAAAACCTTATCATGATTCTTAATGGTTTTTTGCCTTCTTAAGATTTTACCTAGATTCAAATTTATGACAGGGCTTCAAGGTTTTAGGATTTTGCTTGGATATTCCTATTCATTTTGTCGGAGGTATGTTTTCAAAAATCATGCTATTTATTACGTAGTATAAACTTATTATGAAATGTTGACGCTCTTTGGATTAATTGGGCTTCTCTCAATATGTCATGAAAGATGGTTTTTTTCTTTTTACCTCAAAAAATGCCCTATATATAGATTGATTTTTCGCTTCAACAGTTCTACTTAAATCAAAATCTGAACGATGCATTTTGTTGATTCATTTTTTATGACGTTTCTATAGTTCTCTTATGAGATACAATATATATAATAATAGATCATGCAACTAATGCTAATGTTTGTAAATTATGTGCACAGTGCTCAACCAAAGATGAAAGATCGCACAGGGACGGGGAAGTGAGAGGATGTGAGCAAGAAGAACCCAAATTTCAAGTTTTTGCCACCATCTGCTTAAGGTCAGCACCATTTGACCCTCCTTAATTTGGAGATTAGATTAAAATCTTAACTTTTTGAATTACATTTGTATACTTCTTTTATGAGATATAGTACATAGGACTCCATATAGTACATAGTACTCCATAGTACTTCCTCATCTTCTTTTTCTTCTTCTTCTTATCTTCGATTTTACATATTTGCTCAAGTATATGTCTGATTTTGTAGTTGAAGAAAAGGAATTGCTTGGTTTGGATGAGCAATGCTCACTGTATGTTCGACGAAATGACTCAAAAAGACGTAGCCACATCTACAACGATTGGATCTTGCTTAGACAAAGGGGGTTGGCGGCTAGGTATGTACACAGCTTCAATTACAATTTAAGTTTGATTTTCAATCTAAAAGAACAGCATAGCAGGTAGGTGTTCTCTTCCATTTGATCCACACTTCAACTGCAAAGCAATGTTTTCATAGCCACTGGAAGCCTGTTGTTGTTGTTCTTTCACCAAGAAGGATCCAGATGTGATGATGAAAGTATCTTGGGGGGGGGGGGGTTTGGAGCTCTAATGTTTATTAAACAACCAGTAGTTAAAAATTCAAATATAATAAACTAAAGGTTCAAAGTTCAAGGGTAATGTTTTATATATAAAAAGAACACAAAATTATAATCAAATACTTGGGACAATGTTTGGGAAGAGACTAGAGAAAAAGCAGAGGAGATAAGCCTCTTGAATATTTTACTCTGCCTGCCCTATTTGTCTTATATATATATATTTCATATCTTAGGCTATTTTGTTCTCCCTAACTGATACAATTTACTTTCATGTTCTAAATTGTAAGATTTCAAGATAAAGTAACCCATCAGATATTTTTTTCTTGAGCCATAGGGAAGGAGTATCCCTGAGGTTTATGTGTAGGTTTACTACTATTCTTTTTGGTTCTATGTACCTTTTCAATGTGTAGGAAAATATAACATTAAAACTTTTTTTGAATATGGTTCTTACGATCTAGATTTTAGGAAGGTGAAAATGACTTTCAATTTTTCTATTTTAATTCCCTTATACTTATGGTATGATTTTCTTGCAATTGGTTTGCTTCTCTTTTTCAGATTTTGAGTTTTGTTTCTTTGGTGGTGCATCAGGCTAGGAAACTTTGTTGCTCCATTGGTTTTCTGAGTTTATTGTCTTTCTTACATCATGCATTCTTTATTTCTTTTCAGGTCCGATTTTTAGCTCTCCTTGGTGAAATCTTGGGCTCATCTTCCACTACGGAATTATTTCAAGCTACACGGATGGTGGTAAACAACTAAACACATCATATTTTTTTTAGAAAGGGAAGCATAACTTATTAGGGGCATCGATTATGTAGGGGGCACACCTAATATTCTGAAAACTTGACATTGGGGCGTGATGCCAACCCAGTGAGGTCATGCTCCATGTACTCAAAACCAAGATACAAGCTTCAAGATGTTATTGAGGTAGTGAGGTCGTCGAGTTTTATTATATATGGGTGTTCAAGTCTTCTTAAGATAACAATCTCCCTAGCCATGAACTTGATACTGTCGAGATCAGCATTATCAAACATAACCCATATTTTTATAACGACTTAACTCATTTAGTGCTACTAACTTATTGTACGCCAAGTCTAGAGCTTTTTACACACTGCTGTAAGTTCCTTGACCAATCTGCGAGAACAAAAACTACCATCTCACAACCAATTGAGAGATGATTTCATACGAAACCAATCATTTAGCCAAAATAATGTTTTTTTTTTGCTTATAATCAACAATAAAATGATCCACTCATTCCTTTTTGTTAAGGTTAGTCCACAATTTTCCCATTAACATACTTTTATACATTTTTAGAGCTTTGTTTATTTGTATGTTTGAACCTTTTAATTGTCAGAAAGTATAACCTCTTCAGCCGTCCCTATTAGTGCTGAACTATATGCGAAGTGAAAAGAAAAAAATCCAGCCAACGTATCATGTACACTTCTCCGCCAGCGTATTCCGTAAGCTTCTCCAAAACAGGGTGGGAGACGACAACGCCGGCTAGCCTTCTACCCTAGGCTGGCTGGATCCTGGCGGTACGGAGGTACAGTGCATCAATTCGTGCAATAGATATATCAAAATAGCTGCTCCAATGCTCCTTTGATTAGAACTCAGAAGAGGTATGCGATGAAAGAGAAGTCAAGAGCTCAACTATGTGAGTTTTTGTGATGGAATATTTTTACAAATCTTTTTTACGCGGCTTCAATTGCATAATCTTTATATTCTGCAGCTTCAAGCATTCAATTGCAAATTTTTGGGCCGGGTCAGTATTTTAGATCTTAGATATTGTGTAGAAAAAAAATTGGCTGAAGCATGGGTGTACGGTATATAGACAAGCATGGGTAAAAAAATCTCTATTTCAATATCCCACTTTCTTCATCTCCATTTAACATTTTTTTGGTGTTTTGATTTACAAAGTAATAAAATCTCTATTTCTACAAAGTTGCCTTGATATTTATTAGCAAATATTTTTTTTTAGATTTTTGGTGTTCATCGAGATGGAATTGTTATGTATTTTTGGTTTGGGCAAGCCATAAACTTCAACCTTTTGAAGGCAAAGGGGGTAACAACCTTTTCAAATTTTCTATTTTCATTTCTTTATATTTATGATACGATCTTAAGATTCTTGGTATTTAAGGTTTCCTGATTATAAAATGTTAGGTCTGGCTATTGTGGACAGGGTGAGAACGACAACAATGACATACTGAGTTTCATTTTCCTCTTATTTTTCAAATTTTTTACCAGCAAACATTAGCTGATAAGTTTTGTACATAGTAATTTTTTGGATGCAATTTTATTAGCAAGTGGTATTTACATGAAACTATACATATACTTCACTTCATGATTAGCATATTTACCTTCTTATTTTCGCCTTTTTCAAGTTGAACAAAGTATGGGATGTGCTGTTTGAACAAAAGGTGCAAACTTGAAACTCTTGGTAATGTGTTTGATCATTATTAGAATTATTTGATTAGGCCGGTATTAATGTGTTTCATTTTGTTCCCTTTTGTGGCAGCCGAATGAGTGATGGGTAGCAGTTCTCATATTGATTCAGAACGACAAAGTGAGCTTTCAGTTGAAGAGAATGGTATGTTTTGCTGTTCCCCCTTTTTCTTTGTGTTTTTAAAAATGTCAGGACTGCATTTGATGCTACTTCTGATGGAATGAGCATAGGGCAAAACACTCCACCCAAAATGGAAGCTGGAGGGAGAAATACTCATCATTTGAATCTATTTTTCATGTTAAAATCCATGATTATCAAGAAAAGTACAACTAGATGAGAGTGCTGATCAAGAACTTATTGTTTGTGAACACGAGAAGAAGAGAAGACCTCTATGTTCAATAGATATTGATTCATGGAGATTGGAACCAGAAAATATTGCTCGGGTTGTTCGAGGAAGAATACTAAATGTGAAGTTTATCCCTACGGCATGGATGAGAATGGTTGTTGCAGGAAATAAGATTGGAAATATTGTTTCTCGAACGCGGATGCCAAAGAGGATGGAGATGTGATTTATTTGCACCAGCCTCATTCCAGTCCAGTATCAGGAATATTAATTGATTCATTTTTACAGTTAAAGGTTTGACACACACACAACTTACTCCATCGTTCATGGTTGAAGTAGTTTTTTTTACATAGCATCTGAATCCATTGTTCTAATCTATGGTTTCACTTTGTTTCAGATGTTTACATCCTTTTATGATGGGTTTATCAGGCTGATGGACATTAATAAGGAGTTATTTGATTCCATATATTAAAGTGATTATTCTATATGCTCTATCACAATGACCGGACAATTCGAATTCATTATATTACGCTGAGGGGGATGGATATCTTGGAATATGGGTCTTGAGAGCTAGAATGTCCTCATCATCATGGAATTTGCACGAAGAAAGGATCAACTCAATAGATTTTAACATGGAAAATAGTAAAACTCATTTGGTAGAGATTGGGAAGATGGGTCAATTGCTAATACTCATTTATTATTCGTTCAATCTTTATGTTAAATATGAAGTAGAAATTAAACTATGTTTTTCATCTTTCTTCATATGAATGTACTTTCAATTATTTTTTAAATAAAAAATTTGTACATTTCAAAGTGTAAATTAAGTACGTATATATATATATTCAACCCAATATTTACCAAAATCAAAACATCCCAAACCGATACTTCGGGATCAGGATCGGGATTGATAGGATGTAAAATCCAAATCGAATCGAAATATTTGGTACGGTATTGGTACGAACCAAATTCCGTACCATATCGTGTCACGCTCACCCCTACTTTGGGGGACTTCATAGCTATGATATAGTTGCGTCACAAAACTTCTTTGAAAAATGAAGCAATTGGTGCTTCACATGCGTTCTAATAAACTTCACATCATCGATGAACGTGAAACAACTTATTAAGAACATTGAATTCACAGGTGTTACACATAAATTTCACGTCATCTTTTCTAGGTGAAGCAACTTATTAAGATTTTTCGATTAAAGATGCTCTATTGTGATTTATAAAGAAGTATTTTGAAAATACTTCTGTTTTTTCTAATAATTTGGATTAATTTAAAATTAGTCCCGCTCTTTGAAATATTCTTTAATTCTTAAAAATATTGCATGTTAATTTAAAATAAATTATCTCTCCGTGCAACGCACGGGTACGAGTCTAGTCAGATCAAAGAAACCCAACCGAGTTAGAGCAACAATTGGAGAACGTACTTGGTACATGGGAAAAAAGTTCAAAAAATGGAAAAAACAAGTCTAAGGTTCTCTTTAGTTGGGGAAAATATTTTTCAATATTTTTAAAATATAAAAATTACAAATTATACAAATCAAATACGGAGTATTAAAATTCAAAATTTAAAAACTAAAATTACAACTTAAAATATGAAATTTAAAATTGAAAAGTCAAAGATATTTTAACATTACATTAAAACTCATGGCAAGTCAGACCATGAAGTTTTTAAGATGGATCGATTACAAAATTGTTTGCATCGGCAAAAAATAATAATGTTGAGTTAATCAGCTGGAAACAAAAAAAAACGATGCAAGTGGATGGGGCCGGGTGAGTATGGATGCAAGGAGGGCAATGGTACACGATGTTTGAGTCTCTGATGAAGACTACTTTTGAATGTTGTGCTTTTGTGCAGAAGTTCTCTGATAATGACTTTATTATTTTGTTGCTTTATGTTGATGATATACTTATTGTTGGTCAAAACTCCACCATAATTGATGAGTTAATGTTTACACAGATTCAGATATGACTGGAGATATACATACCAGAAAGTCTACATCTGGTTATTTGGTTGCTTTTGCAGGGAGCTATTCCATGGCAATATAAGCTTCAAAGTTGCGTTGTGTTGTCCACAACAGAGATCGAGTTTATTGCAGCTACAGAAAGTTGTAAAGAGTCGCTTTGGATGAAAAAATGTCTTCATGAACTTGGCTTTATGAAAAAAGCTATGTCTTATATTGTGACAGTCAAAGTGCTATACATCTTAGCAAAAATCCTACTTTCCATGACAAATCTAAACATATTGATCTATGTTATCATTTGATTTTTAGATGTGCTTGATCTTAAGTTATTAGAGTTTGAAAAGATTCACACAGATGATAATGATGACAAAGGCTTTGCTAAAGGGGAAGTTTGAAGTTTGTTGTTTGATTGTCGGTTTGGCAAGTACCTTCACATAGTCGGGGAGGGGGAGATTTGTTGGGTTTGGGCTCCCAACTATGTGTCCATTTAAATTTGAAGGCCCAATTTAGGAGAGTAATTCTCAAGCCAATGTTTTAGTCCACTTATGAGGCTAAAAATCAATAGCCATCCAGAGAGTACCGCTGATTTTACATGTGCACGAAACAAGGAGAATAGAGGGAAGCCGCTGGTTTGTTGCAGAAATCGCAGGTCTGGTTATTCTGTTGATTGGAGATCCAAGCCTCGTCCAATCGAGTTGAAATTTTAGGAGGAGTTAAAGGACTCATTAAGCTTCAATCAGAACGGTGGAGATCAAATTCTAACGGTTCAATCTTAATTTACGATTTTCTTGGTTCAACCTAAAAGATTTTGTGTTAAACCCTCATGGCACATATTTTTGAAAAAAAACTAAAAAAACGGGGTTGACCTATTTGACTGGTCGATTCTAACCGGTTCTGACTGGTTTAAGGCTGGTGTGCAAGTAGCAATATTCTTTGGTAATATAGGAAGTGGCAAACCAACTTGCTTCGTTGCTAGAAATAAACAAAAAGATTAATTAGGACCAAAAAGATCAACTCGAATAAATCAAGATTGGAACAAAAAATACCAAAGTGGTCCTAGTGATGGTTCCATTCAGATATCAATAATCTCATTTGGTTCTCAAAGTTGGATGAAGACTAGATCGGTCTCGAATCGGTAGTTTTTTGGGAAAAGACTAGACGAAGACGAGTTTATTTAGTACAATTAAAAAAGAAAAAAATGTAAGTTTTTTTTGAACGGAGGTACAGTTTTACCAATTTGGGACAAAGATTACAAAGGTAATGAATTGAAATGAGTTTTGTCAATGTCCAAAAATGCAACTACCAAATTCCTTTGCAACGTACGACTTTTATATTAAAGATGTCAACAAAATCACCAATTCCACCTCAATTATGATCAATAAACATTCATGCAAAATTACACAATAAGCTAGTTTAGTCCACATTCTCATTTGGGTTGTTGGTATCATCAAAACCCATGCCGTAATTTTGATAATCCGAACCTGGAAAACTCTCGTACTGCGACATATATTGAAAATTCTCATGTTGTTGATATTGTTGTTGTTGCTGATGTTGTTGTGACGGCGTCATAAGTGACGCTACCCCTACTGGGGGAGGAGGAGGAGGGAACGCTGTCGACTCCCAAGGTTGTTGCAAACTTATGCTGGTCGTCTGATTGTAAAGATCTGAAGTCAAGTAAGGGAACTCTGCATCCGAGCTAGAAAGAAGTCGAGCGTACTGTTGGAGAAAAGGGTAAGCTGCCTCATCTTGAGGCGTTGACGACTGGCCACTAACCTGATGGCTGGGGGCAGAAGAGGAAGTTCCGCCTCTTCTGCCACCAGTACTAACGAAGCGGACTTCTGTTTTGCCTTGAACTCTTTGTGGGAAATTGAGCTTGGCTTTGGACCCTTTGAATTTCAGAGCGGCTTGGTCGTATGCAAGTGCGGCCCCCTCAGCGGTTTCGAATGTTCCGAGCCACACGCGAGCCGCCTTCTTCGGATCCCTTATTTCGGCCGCCCATTTGCCCCATGGTCTCTGCCTTACCCCTCTATAATGGGGTCTCATATTTTCTTCATCAATGAGAAAGAAACAATATATAATTAACTAGACATGCATGCATGAATGGAAAAATATACTTATGTGAGTTATGTCCCAAAAGTATAGTCAGTGTTTAAAATTGTGTGAAAGCCATTTTTTGAGAAGAGGGAAAAACCAACATTCCATTTTTAACATTCCATTTTTCTAAAGAAGAAAACTTTATCCTGAACGACAAGGTTCCCATGACATTACCCGGTAATATCATGGGATGACCCGTGGGTGCTCCGGTGTCCCGTTCGTAAAATTGACGGTTCCTACCCCCCTAACCCCGGTAAACCCCCCACTCCGCCTCGACCCGAACACCCCCACACCCCTTCAATTGCACCCCACAAGTTGATTTTGATGGGGTCAAAATCAACTTGTGGGGTGCAATTGAGGGGGGGGAGGGGGGGTGTTTGGGCCGGGGTAGGGTGGGGTGGGGGTTTACTAGGGGGTAGGAGCCGTCAATTTTACGAACGGGACACCGGGGTGCCTCCGGGTCATCCCATCACATTGTCGGGCAATGTCATGGGAACCTTAAATAAATAACAAGAAGAAGGAGAACTTAGATATAGGACGACGAATATTGACAACAAATTTGACCTTATTAGCAACCGGAATACAGAAACGTTAACTTAGCTTAAATAATTAGGTAAATATGTTATCATTGATTGTAATTATTGTAAGCTTAAGAAAGGTTTTATACTCTAGCATGCTTCTTCATGCGCGGGTGAAATTTGTGTTTGTCGGTTTACCCGATCCTTGCACGTGAATATTAATTTTTTTTAATAAAATTGGGTGGTAGTGATTAGTGAGGTATAAACTCGTGACCTCTTGATCAACAATAAAACTTTGATATCACATCAAAGAATCAAGTCAACCAAAAACTCAAACTGATGATTATTTGATAATAAAAATTAAGATATGCATCATGTTAGAAGTAAAACCTAGATAAAATACTAGAATAAAAATTTCATGGTTTTAAACTCAAAATAAGACTACTGTATATGGTAATTTAGTAATCTATAGTATTTTGTGATATTATATGTTTAATTACATTATAGGCATTATAACTCTTATTTTGCATCGGGAAAATATGAAATTCTTATTTGGATATTTTCTCCACGATTATTCATAATTTAGTCTTTTTCCTATAAAGAATTATGTCATTAGATGACAAAATACTTTTCTATATAGAAATTTGCTCTCAACATCATCCTATTAGTTGTACATATAGTGACAATTCCATACTTCCATTTGAATATTTTACCTAATAAAAAAAGTTGTTGCATGTAATAGACTCTTGAACTATTCTTGAAGGGTCACTCTCCATGCTTTCTTATTCGACAACTTGCTTCTCCATTATTGAGTTAAGAAGATTATTGTATTGATCGATATACCTAATTTGGGATGTCAATTGTATATCTATTAGGATCCCCATTAGATATTACTACGTATAAAGTACAGATTATAATATTGTGGGATCTAGCCTCCATCATAACTATCACGGGATGTAGCGTGTACCTAAGGTACACGATAAAAGCAGAAAATTACTCACGAGTGACACGAGTTTTGTCGGAATAACTTTAAGGTTCCCATATTTTTAATAAGATAACAGAAGTCCTTACATTTTGTTATAATGACTGGGAGGGGACGACATTCCGTCCAATACTTCATCCATAAGCGTTAATAAATGCGTTTTTTCGTATTTTATCCTTAATGTTTTATGGTAATAATCTCTCACTTTTTGGTTTCTTTGTTTTCCTTTTTTTAACTCTTTTTTTGAAATGTTTTTAAAATTTTCTTCTAGAAAATTGTACCAAAAATTTTAAATTATTTGTACGATATAAAAATAAATGAAATAAAGAAGTTTCCTGAAAAAGAAAAGACGTAGTAAAATTAAAAAAATTGAAAAATAAACCAAAAAATTTTTCCCTAGAAAGTTCTCAAGATTCTTTTTTAATATGGAGTACTTTGTACGTATTATTAAAAATAAAAAGAGATCTAATTTTCTTTTTTGATAAGGTCTTTATTTCATTTATTTTTTATATCATACAAAAATATGAGTTTTTGAAACTATTTTCTAGAAGAAATTTTAAAAAGACCTTTATGAAAAAAGAAACAAAGTGAAAAAAGAGAAACAAAAAAAGAAAACAAAGAAACTAAAAAAATGAGGATCTAAAAGTTATTACCATAAAATATTAAGGATAAAATAGAAAAAATAGGTTTACTAATGCCAATGAATGAAGTCTTAGATACAATGTCTCCTCATAGTCATTACAACAAAATTTAAGGACCTCTCTTGTTTTTTTTGAAAATATAGAGATCCGAGAGTTATTTTGACAAAACATGCGTCACCTAGGAGTAGTTTTTTGCAATGGAAGTATGATATATTTTTATTTTTCATTAATAAATTAAAATTTTCATTTTAAAAAAAGTTCCAACATTTTTTAATGTACATTACTAAAATATTTCTTACTTTGCTTGTTTTATTTAAATAAGTTAATATGCGATTTGGAAACTTTTCTCTTATCTAAAAAATGTACCGCACTCTTCACTTTTAGAAAAAAACTGAGTAAGTTTTTTAGGAGAAATTCAAAAAAGAAAAGTAGGAACTTTAGTGGCATTTTTAAACGTTTTGAAGACTTTAATGTCATTATTGAAAGAAAAACTAGAGTGTGCCATTATTGACAAAAAATAATACTTGAGTGACACTTTTAAACATTTTAAAGAGTTCAATGCATTTGTGAAAAAAAAATAAAAAGCAGTGTTGTTTGTGACAAAAATAAATAGTTTAATGGCACTTTTGTGAGTGCACTTGTTCACGGTCAACAGTAGACAATGGCTGTGTTTGGAGAACATCTTTTAGATAGCTTTTGACATTTTTAACTGACTTTGGTTTTTTTAACTAATCAAACAGTCAAAATTATTATTTGACTAATGACTTTTTCACTTGGTTGTTTGATCCGAAAAGTCAAAATCTGAAAATCTAATGGGAGTAGCTTTTGGACTTGGCTGTTAAGAAAATTAATATTTTTTTATCATTTTTCTTGAAAGATATTCAATAATATATATAAAAAAATAAAAATAAAAGTAAAAAAATTTGAAAGTAAAAAAATTAAAAATTAAAAATTTAAAAAATGAAATGAGAAAATCAAAAGTAAAATCATTAAAAATCAAAAGTAAAATATTTAAAATTTAAATGTTATTAATTTCTTATATATTATATGGAAGTGAAATTTAATACTCCATATATTAAAGATTTAATTTTTTTCATGTACAGAAATGAAAAACAAATATTGTGTGTCTATACACACACACACACGCATGCACACACACACACACACACACACATATATATATATATGTATATGTATGTATGTATGTATGTATGTATGTATGTATGTATGTATATAATAGTTAATTTTATAAAACATTTTTAATGATCAGGCAACACAACTTATTGGTCAAGCCAGCTAAACTAAATGCACATTCATAATAGCTGACAGAAACATGCAACAACCAACATGCAACATCCAAACAAGGCCAGCAAATACTGAGTATTATTTTTTCTTTTGGTTCAAAGTGCATTAAACATATTGACAACACACAATTTTTGGATACAAAATTTTTTGGATGGAAAAACGAATAAGATTATTTAATTTTTATGTGTTGAGTATATTTGGGGAATATGAATATCCGAATATGCAGGAATAGTGTAGATTGCTTTAAAAATACTAATGCTAAACGCTGTCCATAGTCTGAAATAGTCTTTTCAAAATGCTAACGTCAATTTCTAACGCTATTTTCGAACAGACCTATAATTACAATTTATTTAAAGAATCAATCTAGATTTAATTTCCAGTTAAACAAAACAAAAAGACCTATAATAAAGAAAAAAACCTGCTTAACTAATTATAAACTTAGAATCACAAATTTTTTAACTTAACATATGTCATGTGTTATACTATGATAGCCTAAATGATGTGAAAATGTATAACTATATCCTCGGTTGAAAAAAAATCTTTTATTTACTATTTACATAGTTAAATTAATCATCTCTATCTACAAATTCTTATTGATTATTTGATAGACAAGATGTTTTGTTTTCTTTACTATTCATATTTTCTCTACATTTTTTGGAAGAATACATTTTATTTACTATTCCTTACGTCCTTAAACTAACTTCTCATTCATCATTAACTAGGTCAAACTTTATATATTTTGTTAGTTTATTTTCGGAACTTATGTGATAGACAAATTCTATGGTGGACCTAAGGTCCACCATAGACCTACATATGAGCAAAATAAGCATTTATTTTTTTAAACAAAGAATATATAAAAAAATTATGTGAGAAGGTCCAAAAATGGTATGTACCTAAAGTGCACCATATAAAAGCACTCTATGTGATAAGATAATATAATCATGTCACCATTACTTTCATAAATATTATGATGTACACCCTCCATCCCATAAAACCCTTTCTCTTTTTAAAAAGGGCTCCCTTAAAATAAATAATTTTGGTATTATTTTCTAATTTTGATCTTACTTTATAATAGAGTAGGATGATATGTATAGAATAGATGGGTCATATTTAGAAAATAATGTTAACAATATGATAAACGAAGAAACAAGATGATCAATTGCAACTTGATAGTTTTAACGAATCACGCAGAACGCTTTCATGTCAAAATAATTTCAGGATATACCAAAATACTTTTATCGGATAAAACATTAATCAAGAACAAGTACTTCAAAAAAATCCATTGCTCAGCCATACCTACGCCTCTATATTTATAGAGACGAAAAGACATGATCAGACATACACATACATTCGCATGAAGATGTGTCTCTGCAGCAAAACAATGCTTGCGGTTTGGCCTATTTTCAGACGTTCGATTTTTGAATGTTTTTAGACTCCGTTCACGAAAATATGAAGGGTTTTTATAAAACAATAATGTCCAAAATAAATCCCGACCAGGGACACTATCC